AACAATTTTCTCGATTCATTTAAAAGAATTTCTGCATATATTTTAATATTTAAATAGTTGTAAGTAAAATAATTTAAAAATAGAATAAAAATTATCGAAATTCCCCTTCTAATTAAATATTTAATAATTACCTAATATCTGAAGTCCAAGAACTAATAATTAAAGTACAATTTTGTTGATCATAAGGAAAATATCTTGAATTAAAAATTTATTTTCAAACAAAATTAGTCAAAACTAACAATATATTAATACGACAACTAACTCTATATAATGCTGGATACATAAAAATAACCTTGAAAAAATAAGACTTGTAAATTAAATTAATTTAATTAATATTACTTGTGCTCCTCGTTTACTTTGCCAATGCTCTTAAGTTTAAAATATATTTTTTAAAATCTTTATTTAAACAAAATTTAATTTTCGTCAAATGATTTTATATTTATATAAAATACTTTTATTTTTCAGAATTTAACAAAAAAATCTTAAAATTATCTGCTTAAAATTATCATCTTTTATTTAATAATTATTTATTTTTAAATTAAATTCAATTATGTACCAGTACTAACAACAACATTAATATAACGTTCAGTTTCTTCTCTATTCATAACCATAGAATTATATAAATAAGTATCTGGTAACCAAATCTTTTCATGAGGTAATATTGTATCATTTATTCCCCCTTGAAATGTAAAGAATTTTATTTTCAAAATTTAAATAACCATATTTATTTGGATCCCATCCAAGGAACTCGTCGTGCCATTTTTGAATTACCTAAAATTTTATAGTTTGGAAGGTCGAGCCAAAAAAGATTTTTTAAATTAACAAAATTAATAATAAAATTATAATTATGAATTAATTTAAAATTATTAAGGAAAAAAGAAGGGTTCATCTATTTTGCCAAAATTAATATTTTTTATCAAATTATTAAAATTTACATTAAACTAAATTCAAAAATAAAATGTGACACAATATTTTTAAATAACAATTTCGTAAATTCAAAATTAATTCCAAGACATAATTTAACAAACCCAAAGATTTAAATCAACACTTTGCACTTTCTCATTTATCGCCAAAATTTGATAAAGACTCATAGTAAAATTAACAAATGTTGGTCTTGAATGATTCAATACAGGACGAACTCTATTATCATATTTCTCAACTAAATCTTTAGATAAACGAACGTGGGGTAAAAACTTTCCATCATCTTCAAACATTGCACGCCCTTTTTTTAAAAAATAATAAAATTAAAAAATATATTTATTTGTGTACTTACTATCTGCTAAAATAATTGAGAAAATAGAAAATATAATAAAATAAATAATTAAAATTAATTTTAGTATGTTCATTTAAGAAGCAAAGAGGAATTAAATAAATTTATAAAAAAGTCTGAGAAAATTAATTATTTTAATGTATTTAAGAGATTTAATGAACAAAATAACTCGCATTTAAAAGAAGGAGCAAAAATGAAAATAATCTCTAAAATAAAATCCAAAAATCTCATATTAATTAATTAATTCTTTAAGATGGACATGGAACAAATATTGGCAAATTATTAATTTATTAAAAAAGATAACTTATAATCGGTTCTGAACCGAACCGAAGAACCGAGGATTTTTCGGTTCGGTTTTGGATATCCGAGAATTTCAAGACAACCCTACTTAAAGATGTTTTAGATTAATTAACAAAAAAAAGGGAAAAGGGAAATTGAAATCGAGAACAAAGAGGAAATAAACTGCAAAGGACAAAAAAACATTTCTCCTTTTTTTCAAATAAAAGTCATTGTGGCTTTTCTCATCTTATTCCAATTTTTAAGAGAAATGGAATAAAACAAGGCATTTTATATAAGATATTTAATTTGTTTTTTTAATTAAAAATTTTATTAAAATTATTTTTGTATTCTTATATTATTAATAAAAATTTGCTATTAATTAAAAAAAAGATGAAAATAAAAAAGAACATAAAAAATTATTAATTAAAAATAATAAAAATTTATTATTAAATTCTACCCCTCTTTTTATTAATTTCTTATACCCAAAAATTTCCAGAAAAATCAGATAATATTTTAATTTTTAGGATTTTTTACATGGATAATTAAATAAATTAATAAACAAAAAATTCCATTCTCCATTATTGTTATATTTATTTTAGCTAATAAATTTAAATATTCTCTCTCTGTTTTCTCGCAGAGTGCCAATAAAAATCGTTTGGTCTTCTAGTAGGTACATATATTTTTTTGGAAGTACAACAACAATAAAAATAATTGCTATGCTGGATATCCTCATTCTTTTTTTCCAATCTATTTGTGTTTAAAATAAATGGTAAAGGGGTGTAAACAATGATGGAATGGACAAAAAAACTTTTTTAATATTTTTTAATATTCAATTCATGAAAAGAAAAAAGTGTCGAAAAAAGCATTTTATTTTTTAAAGGGATTGACTGATGTTAAATATGTAATTTCCCTTCTAATTTTAAATATTTTTAAAAGAAAAATACATATTATTGAAAAATTTATTAATTCTAAAATTGATTTTTAAGGTGGGGATATCAGGGATTTTTCCGGTACCGGTACCGATATTACCAGAAAGTATCGGTCCAACCAGAGTGCAGTCCGACCAAAAAAATATTTTTTATTTTATAAATATGTATTCCGATGATGGAGAAGTTTGTTCCAACAATGTGAAATTGTTCAAAAACGGAAAAAAAGAAGAAATCTAGCTTTTTTTAAGAGATATCCCTTCAACTCCACATATATCAGCTTAATCCTCCATATAGCTTAACCGCCAATAGTTTAATCCTCCAAAAAATTTATACATTTTTGGCCATAACTCAGCCTAAATTTCCTTTATAAATTCAAATTTATACGACTTTCATTTAATCATGGTTCATTAAATAAGGACGAGGTAAAAGTTTAATCGCCTTAGATTTCTCTTCCTTAGATTTATTTTAATGGAATATGGAATAATTCTGGAATTTTGCATTAAAATTACTACATTTTAAAAATAAAATCTTTGTTGCAACAAATTGAGAGTATTGCTTTAAACGAGTGAACAAATTAGAGAAGGCAGAAAAAATGAGACACTTCACCAAGTGGCTTTTAACAAGCTGTAAATATATATTTTAGAGAAGAAAAAGAAATACTGTGTGTTTGTATAGTTCTCTTTTACATTTTTGCTACCCATGTTTTATTTATTAATAAATTTCTCATTTCTAATAATGTTTTCGTGTTAAAATTAATCTTTCTAATTCATGACGTGATTATTTTTGAATGGGAGTATTTAACTCCCAAATAATTTTTTTTTGTTATTTTATTGTATCTATGGTTGATCAGATCTAGATCGGTGTTGGTCATTTTTTCTCGGTTGATTGGGTGAGCTTCTGTGGCGCAAAAAATTGTTAACAAAATTGGGAATAATTGCTCCTACTCTGCCCATTTTTTCTCGTCCTCGTACCTGGTAATCTTGTGCTTTACTGGTCCCTAGAAAAAAATGTGGTAGAAGTACTTTTTTGATATTTTTGAGGTCTGCCAGGAGGTAATCGAGTGTGCTGAGTCCGAATATGGGCTTAGAACTTGTTTATTTTGAACCCTGGACCTGAATTCGACCATGTCGGACACTTTAGACTAAGTTATGATCAATTAAATACACGCTTGGTTAGACTCCAGTATACAAATCAGACACCATAACTCAGTCTAAAGATGTCGAAACGTAATTATTTTGATACCAATCGACTCAGCTCGAAGGGACTAGTCCGATTAGACATAAAATTTGAAATTTCGAATTTTTATCCCATGTTTGACATGGTCGAATTCGGGTCCGGGTTCGAAATAAACAAATTCTGAGCTTAGATTCGGACTCAGCAAGATCGATTACCTACTGGCATACCTCAAAAATGTCGAACTGACACTTTTTCCACAGATTTTTCTAGGGACCAGTAAAGCACAAGATTACCCCGGTCCCTAGAAAAATCTGTGGAAAAAGTGTCAGTTCGACACACATTTTTTCTCGTCCTCGTACCTTTCTTTTTTCTCGTCTACGAGTTTTGTTACGAATTTTGATCATAAAATACTTATGAAAAATCGAAATTTGTTTTTCATCTTAAGATTCGATTTTTTTTTGTTTTTCTAATTGTTCTATTTTTTCATTTTAGAAAAATTTAACAATTATGATTGACGATTCATCGATAATTACAGAATCTAAAGGACATGGTTATTCTAATTGTGACATTACCAGTATTCTTTCATTGTCTGGTGGATCAAATTCAGATCGTGAAAATCATCCTAATGAATTCGCTTCTTTACAATTTCTTGACAGAAATGAATTACTTGTTAAACGTTTGTAAAAATAAAAATACGATTCTTTAAAATTAAATTTTAAGTTACTCGGATAATTTTTGAGGATTTCTGTACGCATATTCTTGGAATGCATTCAAGGATTAGCCATAATAAGGAGAATAAGAATGAATGTTTTTTGGAGTTGCTGCGTAAATTTTTAGAGGTTAGTAATTACTTTTTGAATTAGGACAACAGCTTGTGCTTAAGTTTTTTGGAGCCAGAACTATTCTTTATTCTGTAAAGAATCATCGGTAATATTCTGCTTCATTGGTCCCTAGAAGAAAATGAGGGAGAAGTGCTCGTTCGACATTTTTGAGGCATGACAGTAGGTAATCAGGTGCACTGAGTCCGTTTAGCTCACTCGATTACCTACTGGTAAATTTCAAAAATGTCGAAAAAGAATTTCTTATTGATTTTTTTCTAGAGACCGATGAAGCATAAGATTACCGAATCATCCTTTCCTTATTTTCTAATTTCTTTAAATTTTAGTTTTTGAAAATTTTTTCTCAACTTTTATAGATTTGTGAATGTGGAGTTAATGGCATTGAAAAATTCTGTAATGACTCTTCTCATATTGATCCACATTCTAAAATTCTTTTGAATCAACTAACATTGGAAAGAGCATCTTATGCATTGATTTTAAGGATGCATGACTCTGAAAAATTGTTAAATGACAATCAAGTTTTGGTCAAAAATTCTTTTATTTATTTTTAATATTTTATTTTAGGTTTCAACTTCAGTTCTAACAAAGCTTTTCAGAGAAAGTGAACAATTTAGACGCATTTCGGTTTTTTGTTTTTTTTTACTTTAATTAAAATTCGTTTAGACCCTTTTACTTTGGAATGAAGAATGTTCTCTTTTTTCTCCGACCGATTTTAGCAGAATCTCAAATGAAGACGCTCTAAAACTTACAGATACAGAAAATATTTAGTAAGAAAATTTGGCAATTTTTGGTTTCAAGGTCAATTAGGATAATAAAAGTCTTATCCTCTAAGCTTGTCCTTCAACCTAAAAATTTTCGCCTGTGCAACTAAAGATCGGTATTTTTCCATTAATAGGCACAAAAACTATGAAGATAACTTTTCAGAAATTATTGCCCCCCCCCCTCCCCGTATTTTTTTGAGTTACCCTTATCTACTCGAAATTTCATTTCTTCCATTTTTAATGCAATATTACAAGAATTTTTAAAAATATTATTGTTATTTTAAAATTTTCAGTGCTTCTACGAAATTGCGGAATCCCATTCATATTGATTCTAGATTTGTTGATCGACTTGTTGCAGAAGATGAAGAATCAATAAAAACATTAAACACTTTGATATTTTCGCTTATTCGTTCAGGACGTTTAGAAGAAGCCAAATCGTTATTGGATAATGTTGGCCTGCCTGCTTTGTCTATTTTTATCTTAATTCGTGAATTTCTTACAAATCAAAAACTTACACCTTTGGATCGTTTTGAAGATAATTTTATTTTGGCACAGTCTCGACTCTATTTTAAGCAAATGGCTCGTGAATTGATTCCAATGGTTGGGAATATTTTTTAATTTATTAAAAAAAGAAATTTTTCTTTAATAGGAAGGTAAAGGCCGTGTTCAAGCATCTGATCAATGTATTTGGGCAACAATTGCCGGACATTTACCGACGCTTTTTAATTACGCTAATTCTTCAGAGGATCGTCTCTGGGCTCTTTTAAGCTGTGCAGTTGAAGCAATTTTAGGTTAGTTTATAAATTTTTATTTACATAGTAATCTTTTACTCATTAAACTACACTGTGTTACAAAAGTATACGCGCACCTAAATTTATCAAGTTTTCTGCATTAATACTTATGTAAATATCTTCTTGATTTTTTATAATATAGAAATTAACTAAACAAGAAGATCTATGGACAATTTAACAAAAAAATTCAGCAATTTATTTTTATTTTCCAATTTTTTCCAAAATAGGGTGTTTCATAAGTATACGCGCACTTTTATAACTAAAGATTTTTGGCATTAGGGATGGTTCAAAAAATCCACAAAAATTCCTGCAAACATATCAAGTGATATCCAAAGAAAATACAAAAGAAATGAAGTTCCAGCCACATTCCATCATCGAGATCCAAAAACCCAAAAATCAACGGAAAACAGGGGTAAGCGTCTTTAAAAAATATTTTCGACCCCTTATAGACTAAATTAAATTTTTATTTTATACTTTTCTGAAAGTCCTTTAAATTTGCTATAATATCAGCAATTTTTATTTTACAGAAAATTTTTTCCATTTAGTTATACTACATTAAATTTTTAAGGAGCTAAAAAAGGGCATTTCATGGTTAGATTTAATGATTTTCATGTCCATGAATTTAACCCTCAATATCTCCCAAGTAAAAATTTTCGATTTATTAACAATAAGGGTTTCTTATAGCAAATTTAAAGGACTTTCAGAAAAGTATAAAATAAAAATTTAATTTAGTCTATAAGGGGTCGCAAATATTTTTTAAAGACGCTTACCCCTGTTTTCCGTTGATTTTTGGGTTTTTGGATCTCGATGATGGAATGTGGCTGGAACTTCATTTCTTTTGTATTTTCTTTGGATATCACTTGATATGTTTGCAGGAATTTTTGTGGATTTTTTGAACCATCCCTAATGCCAAAAATCTTTAGTTATAAAAGTGCGCGTATACTTATGAAACACCCTATTTTGGAAAAAATTGGAAAATAAAAATAAATTGCTGAATTTTTTTGTTAAATTGTCCATAATCTTCTTGTTTAGTTAATTTCTATATTATAAAAAATCAAGAAGATATTGACATAAGTATTAATGCAGAAAACTTGATAAATTTAGGTGCGCGTATACTTTTGTAACACAGTGTATTCTTTATTCCTAACATTCTCTAGAGTAAGCGTCATTCGGTTAGGCGTTCCCTTGCCAAGTCCTCGCATAATAAAGCGTTAATTTTTGAAACTATGGATATTCATTAGATTACTTCTTTACCGTCTTCTACTTTATATTTTCCTATCTAAGAGTCGACTCCTTTAAAATTTAGATAATTCACTTGCCAATCTACATTCAACAAATGGTGGAAGGATAAGTTTAATATTCAATGATTTATCAGTTGAGAATGAAGATGTTCCAAAAGATATTCATTCAATATTTAAACAAATTCAAATAGTAAATTATTTTAAACAAAATTTAAATTTTATTTTATTTAGAATGATGAAAACCCTTATTATGCTCTTTTTGAATTTTTATCTCTTGAAGATTGGCCATCAGTCGCCAAATATATTGGTACTTATTTAAATGATAATCAGTCACAGAAAACAGCAAATGAGCTTCGTTACTTTATTCATCTTCTGCTTTTATTAAAATTTTCTGATCGTTTACCTTCGGATTTGGAAAATGTTTTGGTTAATTTAATAGAGAATTACTCATCAATATTAATTCAAATGAAGCTAAATCCTCTTGTTCCTTTTTATTTATTTCATTTGCCTCAAAAAGAACAATCATTTGAAAAAATGTTAGATTTTCTTGAAGGTTGTTTTTTATTTATTTTTAAATTTTGTTTATTTTTAGGCATTACATTTGAGCCAGAACAGAATGAAATCTTGGATAATGCTCAAAATGTCGGTTTTGACGTTCCTCAGCTTTGCACAGAACTTTTTCAACGATTTAAACAAAAATATAAATTAGACGTCTACAAAGATGGCGAACAAAGAAATTTAGTCAGAAATGCAAATGAGATGTTACGAGCTTGGAAATGGTTGACATTTTGTGGTACTGAAACCATTTGGGATGCTATTATTGAGGCAAATTATTTACTACGCAAATTTTTTTGTAAGTAGCTAGTTTGAATCAAATTTAATTTTTAAAATTTGTAATTTTTTTGTTTATCCCTTCTATCAAAATCTTATTTAAAAATTTTCGATTAAGTGTACAACAGAATGGATGAAGCTATGGAACTAATAAGAATGGTCCCGGAAAATTTAAGTGATGATGCCATTGATTGTTTCCAAAAAAAATTCCAAGACATGGAAATACCTGTTCGCCTTCTTGATGCTAAATATGAATTTGAATGTTATCAATTTTATTTTGTTTGTTTTATATTTTTTATTAGAATTCCTGTGATTTTTAGGAAGCAATTAATAGATATGATGAATGGCAAAAACAGATGGAAGGAGATCAGGCACCAGAAATTCCTCAAAAACTAAGTGATGAACGTTGGGCACGATTGGACATTCGTCGGAGAACAGAATATGAATTGAGTGTTAGACGAGCACATGATTGTTTGCAGAAATATTATCGCCTTGTTGAACTCTATAAAAAGGTTTGTTAATGATTTTTTAGTAAATTGTGATTTTATTTTAATTTAGAGGGTAGTGGAAATGTTGGAGCATATTTTAAAAGCGCCCAATGGTTGGCTTGTTGCATCACCATTAGAAAATAATGATGATACTGATCCAGAGGTGAATTAGTTTGTTTGACTCATCAATTTGCCTTCAATTAAATCGGATGGAATTGGATTTATTTCATTAAGTTTACTAACATTTTGAAGAGTAAACTAGTTTTGGGCCAGTTAATTCCTTTCAACTCGAAATTTCAAAAACTTCCATTCGTTTTACCGAACCAAAAAATCCAGCTTTACCTGTAAATTCATACATTCATTTATACGTTTAAAGGCAAATTGAGGAGAAATGAAAAAATAGGAAAAATAGTGTAATATATTTTTACTTTTTTAAATTTATAAATTTTTGGTGGTTGAACGATCTCATGATTTTATGGAAATTCGAAAGAACTTTTTAGCAAATCTCTTGGAATTGCTTGTTGATATTCATACACGATCAGATGAACCAATGAAGGTCCTTGAAGTTGGAAAATTGCTGTTTGATCCAACATTCTGTTTATACAAAGTATTTTTATCTTATACAGTTTAAAAATTATTTTTGTTTTTAAGGTTCTGACAAAGGATAAATTGCAGAAATTATTTGTTCTTATTTCCAAATCTGGAGCAGCGCTTCTTTAATTTGTTTCATTTAATTTATTTGGATAAAATTTTCAATTAAAAATATTTTTCTTTAAATTGTTACTTTCAATTTATTATTTGCTTTTTTCTTCTATGTATATTGTTTTTAATATTTAAAGTTTTTTAAAGAAAGATGGCTGACAGATCTAAAATAAATAGAACAACTGCTAGTGATTTTGGAAATATTCGAGACGCTGAGGATGATGATGACAATGAATTTTTTGCTAATGAAGACAACTTTGATGATGAGGAATGTGAAGTAAATGATGCTCCTGAAGGTTTTTATTTTCTTTTTTAATTTAAATTTGATTGGGGAAAAGAGCGTTCTTTTAAAAGTATATGTACATATTGCTTATTGAAAAATAAGCTTTTTTATTCTTAGAAACAAAATTTCTATGAATTTGAAACGAAATCTCTAAGAATTAAAAATTTCTAAGAATTTTTAAAATTCTTAGAAAGAATTTTTAAAATTCTTTTAAAATTCTTAGAAAGAATTTTTAAAATTCTCTTTTTTAAAAATTCTCTCTAAGAATTTTTAAAATTCTTAGAAACAAAATTTCCTGCAGTTTTTATTTCGCTTTAAACGTGTGAAATAATCTTTGAATTTTACTCTTCTCTTTGCCTTCCCTTTGTTTCATCGTTCTTTCACTTTTTACACCTTTCTCATTCACTTAATACTTCTCTGTTGATTCTTGCTTGTTCTTTGCAAACCTTTTGCTTTCCATCTAGGCTTTTAAATTGCTAAAATTATGTTTTTGTTTCTAAAAAATGCTAACTAATATTTTTGCTGTTTGAAGAAGTTAAAGCGCACAGAAACGCGACAAAAATACCTATTTTATTGAAATTTTATTTATATTCAAAAGTTTAGACCATGCTGGTTTACAACAACCAATTGATCATACTAGTGGTTCTTCACAAGCAACTTCCACAGTTGGCCGTACTTGTTCAAATAGCTCTTTTCGCCGTGCACCTATGTCAAATCTGTCAAAAATTACTGAGGCTCCAGATGAGCTATCTTATTCATTCAAACATGGAGAAAATGCTTTGCAAGTAATTAATGAAGATCATGAGCGTTTGGGACATGAGAACTATTTACGTCTTCCTTCTGGTTCTTTCCACACTTCGCAATATTCAATTAAGAATAGCTGGGAGGAAAGTGCTCTTCGCTGTCAGAATGCAATTATCCGATCCGAATTAGATTTGAGTAGTATTCAGGTAATTAAACGTTTACTTAATTTTAAAATTTCGAAGTCTTTAACAAAATTTATTTATAAATACTTTAAGATAAATATAATAATAATAATAATAATAATTTATTCACTAAAATGGGCGTAACAAGTACGTCTCTTAAATTTAGTACAATAAAAAAGAAAGTCCAATCATAAAAAACAAAGTCAAGTAATAATTAATATGAAAATTTACAGGGTGTGTAAAAACATGATGGAGGAAATTCATATATGTATATCATAAGTTAAACTAAAAAGATGAAATAGGATTAAGTAATTGTTGTTTTTTAGTCAGAGGCGAATTTGTGGAAGAATACTCCATATAATTAGAATTTCCTCCAATAGAATATTGACGTTTGCTTGTCATGGTAAGAAATGACAAAAAAAATAATATTACCCAAAGTCAAAAATTAAAAATGCCTAAAAATTAAAATTAAAAAATAAATTACATAAAACATATAAAATGGAGGAAAGAAAAATGTCTTATTTGTAAGCAAAATTAAAAAGGACAGAAGAGTCTCAAAAAAAACATTAAAATTAATTGCACTAAAAGTAGCCAATAAAGTCCTTGATTAAGTCTTTATTCTGTATTAAATAATTTCTAAGGTTTATCCAAAAAGATTTAGGATTTGGAGAACCGATAATTTGTACAGGAAGAATGTTCCATAAATTTAACGATCTATTTATAATCCAATGTTCAGTCTTTGATATCTTTTTAGGAACTCGTAATTGTAGATTATGTTTATTTCTGATAGGCCGCGTGGAAAACTCTACAAAACAAGTCGGATCAAGATGTGTAAAATTTTTTGTTAATCTGAAGATTGTTGAAAGGTCAAATAGAGTACGCCTAAGGACCAGAGATTCTAGATTAAGAAATTTTAGTCTATTTTCATAATTCATTTTAGGGATTTTGCATTTAGCTAGAGCAATCCTTGTAAACCATTTTTGAATTTGTTCTATTTTTAGAATAAGTTTTTTCGTTTTAGGACTCCATATAATAGAGGCGTATTCCAGGATAGGCCTAACGTATGATTTAAAAGCTAAAGAAAGAATCTTAGGATTAGATGAACTAATGTTATTAAGAACAAGAATAGAACGATGGTAAGCCTTTTTAATTATTTTAGATAGATATGCTTCAAATGTGAGTATCTGAAAAAGTGATTCCTAAATCCGTAACAGAAGATACAGTCTGTAAAATAGTGCCAAAAAGGATATAGCGTTTTCTAGGATTATTTTTGCCTATATGAAAAGTACATGTTTTGTTCAAAGATTTTAATTTTAAAATTTCGAAGTCTTTAACAAAATTTATTTATAAATACTTTAAGATAAATATAAATAAATATTCTTTTTAAGATCCCAACTAAAGCAAACAATTCTATCAATTTGGATAATTTAAAAAATTCTCCTAAACAGAATTCAATTCATCAAATACCTAAAGACTCAACAAAAAATTCAACAACTTTTCAACAACAACAACAAAGACCACCACTTTCACCTTCACGCTTTTTAAATAAAAGTATAAATAATGTAAAACCATTTATTTCTGGCACTCGGTATACAGTCTATTTTGGTTTTAAACGTTTGGATGGACTTGATTCTGAGGAATTTTTACGTATTCATAATATTCATTATGGTCGAGAACGGTTACTCATTCGTTGTTGGATAAAGAACAATTCAAAATCTGACAATTGTTTCAAGGTATTTATTTTTTTACTTAAATAATTTTTATTCGTTAAACTTTATTTCTATTATCATTTTCTTTTACTTTTTAGTTAGTTAGCCCAGCTGAAAACGTATCTTCAATTTTGGAGTGGGATGCCTACCAAAAAATTGTTATTTCCTTTACGCCTACTTCTGCTGAACACTATGCAAACTATCTTTTTGTTCATTGCCAATCTAGGCATGAATCTCGAAAATATAAGGTTTTTTAGAATATAACTATTTAAGATTTTATAAAAATTCAAGTTTTGTGTTCATGGATATGGTGGTCGTTCTATTATTACTCCTTGTATTGAGGACAGAATAAATAATCTCTTACTCTCAGCAAATGGTCGATATCAATTATTGGTCAATTCAACTAATTCATTTAATTTTGTTTTACAAAATCAGGGAAATAGGTAAAATGTTAAAATAATTAAATAAAGATTTTTTTAATTTTAGAGCTGCATTTGCCAGCATTTTTATTTATGGAAGAGGTGGGGAGTTAATTCCAAATCATGAGGCTATGGTTTCTACAAGGAATGTCATCATTAACAAAAAAGGACAGGATGACTCCAGACGGGTTTTTTTAATTTTCTAACATTTCAATTTTTATAATTTTAGTCAATATCTGTTCGCTGTTTAACTGAACGGCGTTCATTTCAATCACAAAATAAATCTGCACATCGGCCGAGTACCCTTTCCTCAGTTATTTCTGCTCTAGGCATGTCAACATCTAGAGATGAATCAGCTTTGCAAATTGTTATTTTTTGGGGTGAAGAGAGACAAAGACAACGATTAAAACAGTAAAAGTTTTGAACTATTTTTAAAAATATGTTGGAATTAGAGCCTCCCTTTAGGTAGGGAGGGCTTGGTTGAAAAAGAAAATACCTTAACCGATTTTAATTTTCCAGTTTTGAAAAAAAGTTGGGTGGTCAACTTTCGACTTTTGGACAAAATTTTACAAAATTTATGAATTTTACTGGTGAAAGTGAAGATTGGGCAAAGGAGAATGTGGAACATTACATTAGCGAGGAGGAATTTTATTACTTTGATGCCAATGTTAAACTGATATTTATTGATGTGAGTTATTGTCAAAATTGAGGGAGTGCCTTCTTCCTCCTCAACTTTTTTATTCTTGGTTTCCTTAAGAAAGCCTCAAATATTTTTTACCGTTTTCATTTTTGAATTATTTAAGGTACACGAGAAAAGGTCATTTGATCGAGCTTCTGTCAATATAAGTGGTGGAGTTATTCAACCTTTACAACGTCAACAGCTGCGTGCTGGTTCTTCTCTCTCAGTTGCCTCTTCAGGTGAAAGCACAGGACGATCTCGACAACAGCAGTTGTGTACAATTGTTGAAAGGGACCCAGACAATACTCTGGTTGGAGTTGGTTCAGTACATGATTCAACTGACGATACCTTGACTTTACTTTAGAGAATAGTAAATTTTTCATAAATTTAATCTGTTTTTGTAATTTATTGTAAAGATAGAAATTAGATCGTGACCCGGTCCAGTTTATTAGTT